GGCCTGTTATCTACTATTCAAGTACTCATGGAGTACTGACTGAGCAATGTGTGTGCTTGTGAGGGAACTACTTACTTAGAGACACCCAAAACGATGGGAGCAACAGGGGCCTGGTGTTCACACAGGCTAGAGTACCTCTTTCCATTAGCCAGACTGAAAAACCTCAATATTCATGGAGCATTATGTAGAATATACAGAGTCACACCTTAGTAGGTGAAACAACTAGTCCTACATTGAGAACTGTTCTGTTAACCACCTAACAAATGTTAAAGCAAGATCTGAAAGGATTAAACCGCTTATGAGAAACTTAATTGTGCTCCCAAATTTCAAGAACACAGAAATATCCATTGCTTAACAAAGTAGAATTCAATTCCCTAATTAAAAAAAAAAAACAACACCAGGCATGAAAAGAAGCAGAAAAAATTTATAATAAGGATATAAATCAAGCAGTAAATAAAAACTGACTCATATTAGAATTAGCAGAGAAAACATTAAAAGATTAATTACATCTCTCTATTCCATATGTTGAGAGTAAGTAGAAACATGGAACACATAAAAAAGATCCAAATATAACTTGAAGAGATGAAAACTTCTGTTTCCAAAATAAAAATACATGGCTTAGATTAACTTCAGATTAGACATTGCAGAAGAAAATTTTTTTAATCTAAAGACAGAGAACCTATGCAAAATAAGTCACAATGAGAAAAGATATTTTTAGAAGATAAACAGAGATCCATAGAGCTATGAGAAAAATTCAGGAGCCCAATATGTGTCTAACTGGAGTGTGAGAAAAAGAGAGATGAGGACAGAAAGAATAATCTAAAAAAATAATGGCCAACATGTCCCCAAATATGATGAAAACTCGAGGTCTAAAGATTGAAGATGCTCGTCAAACCACAAGTACAAAGAATATGAAATAAACCAAACCAAGGTTCATCACAAAACTAATCACTTAAAAATATCATGTACATCCAGGAGATTGAGATCCTAATTAGAATAAGATATATTTTGTGCTTATATAGAGTCTACTGTCATGTATAACTCAAAAGAACAAACGAAAATAAGAACAAAAAGACAGGATGAAGACAAAATTCTTAAAATCAGCCAGTGGGAATATAGGGGTGTGCTATATTCAGAAGGACAAAGACAAAGATGACAACATTTAACAAATAATCAGTAAGAATGATTTATTATCAGCAACAACACAAGCAAGAAGTCAGTGGACTGACAAAGTAACTGAAAGAAAAATAAAAACTTTCCACCTAGAATTTTATACTCACAAAAATATTCCTTACAAACAAAGGTGAAATAAAATCTTTTCTCCTAAAACATACAAAATCTGAAATAATTGATTACCAGCAGACCCACACTACTAATTATGTAAAAGAGGACCTTTGACAGAGGGAAGTGACAGTAGATGGAAATATGGATCCACCCAAAAGAACACAGAGCACCAGAAGTGGTGACAACCAAATACTGTTTCTGATCATTTTTACCCCCTTTAAATGCAAATTTTCACTTTAAACAAAAATAATAATCGTACATTGTGTAGTCCGGAACATATATGGAAGTAAAATAGCGTGGCAACAGCAGCACTCAGGTAAAAAGGAAAAACAATGGAAGTACACTCAGACAGAGTTCTAGTACTGCATGTGAAATGCGATCCAACTTGAGACTGGATGTCAATATACTGCACCCTGCCAATGAAATTACAACAACAACAACAACAACAACAACAAAAACAACAACAAAATTATATATATATATATATATATATCAAATAAGTCAACAAAGGAAGTAAAATAAAAGAATAAATAACACTCAAATTTGTATAAAAAGAAGGCAGAAATGAAGAAAAATAAAATAAGGATTAATGGGGCATTTGAAAAATAAATAACAAGATGGTAGGCTGAACTGATAATCAGATAAAATGTAAATGGTCTCTGCTTTCCAATTCACATGGAGATATTGTTGTATTGGATAAAAAAAGACCAAACTACATGCTGCCTTCCAAAAAAAAAAATGTACCTAGAATATAAAGACATAAATAAAAGGATGAGGAAAGATATCACATGCAAGTACTAGCCAAAACAAACCTAGAGTGGGTATGTTAACATCAGGAAAACAGAGAAAAGAGGCAGCGATAGGTAAGTCTTTTTATAATGATAGTTAGTTAATCAAAAGACTGAAAAATTCAAAACTGTTAAGTAGAACATACAGTTAGAGGATAGATTAATGGGAATGGGTGTGTGTGATTATGGAAGCCAAAGTCCAGGTCCTGTGGCCATATGTAAGCTGGAGAACTAAAAGAGCCATTGCTGCCAGTCAGTGGAAATCAAAGGCCTGAGAACCAAGCCGGCTAGGATAAGGTCCTGGAGCCTGAAGGCCCAAGAACTGGGAGCTCTGATCTCCAAGGGTAGGAGCAGATGGATGTTCCAACTCAAGAAGAGGGAGAGAATTTTGCCTTCCTCCACTTTTCTGTTCTGTTTGGATCTTCAATAATTTGGATGTTGCCTGACCATATTGGTGAGGGTCTTTCTTATCCAGATCTTTCTTATTCAGTCTACTAATTCAAATGCTGTCTCTTCCAGAAGCGTCTTCACAGACATACCCAGAAATAATGTTTCATCACTTTTCTGAGCATCCTTTAACCTAGTCAAGCTGACACATAAAATTACTACATATGTAGTGCTTTCTATTGGATCTGTGGAAAGCTGTAAGAATTTGTAAGTGAGCAAGGTTGTAGTAGGCAAAATTAATATACTCAATTGCACTTCTACAAACAAGCAATAAACAATCAGAAATCAGTGTTACAAAATGCTGTTTACCACAGCACCAAAAATTATAAAATACCTAGGAATACATTGACCAAAAGATAGGAAAGACCTGTATGAAATACTGCTATGAAATATTGCTGGAAGAAATTAAAGAAGATTCAAATGAATTGAAAAGATGTCCTGGGTTCATGGAGTGAAAGATCTCAATTGTTAAGATGTTGTTTTTCTACAAGGTGGTCATTGATCTATAGATCCATGCAATTTTACCAAAATCTCACCAGTCTTTATTTCTTAACAGAAACAGAATTTTAGATTTCTAAAATTCATATGTACATGAAAAGGACCTAAAAAGTCAAAAACAACTTTAAGAACAAAGTTGGAGAGCTCGCACTATCTGATTTAAGACTATTGTAAAGCTGCAGTGATTAAGACAGTGTTATCATCATAAAGATAAACAGATCAATGGAACATAATAGAAGGTACAGAAATAGACTTGCATGTATATATGGACAAATTTGCCAACAAAGATGCAAAGACAATTCAGTGAAGACAGTCTTTTCCATAAGTGGTTGTGAAACAATGAAAACTTCTAGTCTAAAACATGATCTTTAAGAATAATTGATAAATCATACTCCATTAAATTTATTCTGAACACACACTTGACCAAAAGTGAGATATGGCAAATAAGCATAGAACAATTTCCACATCACAAACATTAGGGAATATTAAATTAAAACAAATGAAATACCACCACTGTTTTAGCCCTTTTTTTGTCACTGTGACCAAAAGACCTGACAAGAATAATGTAGAGGAGTAAAAGTTTTTTGGGGGGCTCCCAGTTTCAGAAGGCTCAGTCCATAAATGACTGAGTCCATAGCTGTGGACCCAGAATGAAGCAGAACATTATGGTGGAAAAGTGTGGTGGAGGAAAGAACTTCAAAAACATGGCAATAAGGAAGCAGAGAGAGTTCTACTTTCCAGGGACAAAATATATAAACCAAAGACATTCCCCCAGTGACTTTAACTCCCCCAGCCACATCCTAAATGCCTACAGTTACCACCTGGCTAATCCATTTCAGTGGATTAACCAACCATTTGGTTTCAACTCTCCTAATTTTTTCACCTCTGTACATTCTTGCATCATTTCACACATGAACTTTTGGAAGATACTTCATATCTGAACATAATAACTACATATCTATTCGATGGCTAAAATTCTTAACAACGACACCATCAAATGCTGTCAAAGATGTGGAGCAAAGGAAACTCTCATTAGTTGGTGAAAATGCAAAATGATATGGCCATTTTGGAAGACAATTTGGCAGTCTTGAGAGAAGCAGACAATCTTTCCATCTGATACAGCAAATTCACTGTAAGTTAAAGTGACTATTACACTCTGAAGTTCATATTGGAAATGAAAGATATATTTTCAAAGTTCAGTGAAATTGAAAAGCTGAAATTAATCAAGACCTAAACATTTTTCCAAACTTTGCGGCATGATATCCCACTTACAGATGTATGGATAAACTACTTCTGAAGTTAGGCTAGACTCTGGCTTTACTGGACTTCTGCTTTGGGGGCTTCTTGCCACAGCTAGATTCCACAGCTAGATCCTGGGCTGAGCTATAGTCCCAGTGGACCTGGCGGCTCATCTCTACATGCACGTTGGCTGCAGGCTCATCTTCCATGATATAAAAGGAGCTATGCTTCCATTTAGTGATGCATTAGTTCCCTCTGATCATCACACATACTTTAAGTAGGGACTACCTATACTAATGAACTGCTTTATAATGAACTATTCATGTGTTTATGGAATACTATTGTGCGACCAACACTGTGCTGCACACCAAGGATATAGCAAGGGTGCTTGTCCTAGAAATTTAAGTTATAGTGGAGTGGGCAAGCAAAACATAGAGGTTGTTAAGTGGTTTGATGAAAATAAAACAGGATAAAGAAACATAAGAAAGACTTGGGCATGGTGACATTAGATAGATGAGGTCTCTCTGTGTTGGTGCAGTGTAGCCTCTGAACTCAAGAGGAGATGAAGACAGCTCTGTAAACATCAGGGAGAGTAGAGAGTAGCAACATCCAAGGTAAGTGAGCTATGAGTTTATTCTGAGAGAAATATGAGCAGAAGCAAAAAGGTATGAGAAAAGCAACATGGCAAAAAAGAAATTGCAATGATGATCTCAATATGTGATTTCATTTTACCTGTGACGTCAGGAGAGGAAAATAAAGCAACCCTCCTTGAACTCGGAGCTGTGGAACCTTTAACCAAGCTTCTCACTCATGAAGACAAAATTGTAAGAAGAAATGCTACTATGATATTTGGAATCCTGGCTTCTAACAGTAAGTACCAACTTTTAAAAAACAATAGTGAATATACACTTTTAAAAAATAAACAATCTCATGTAGTGTATTGTTCTTCTTTTAAATTTAAGAGATTTGCTTTGCTTGTGTTTAAGCTGACTTCAGTGTTAACAAAATAGCTACATCAGTACAATGCAACAAATGGATGATTCATATTTTAAGGGATATTTTTAAAATATAAAAATAGTTGCAGATATACACATACTAAAGCTCCTCTGAAAACTGATGATACAGTGTATCCCAGTCTTATAAGTAGGAGGAGTAATCATTACCTCTTAAAACAAAAATGGATTTTTCTTAAGTTAGTGTAATGTCATTTGCTGCCTACATGTAAGTTATACTTCATCTATATTTCATGGTAGATAAAGCCTAGAGTATAGAGTTTTGATGAATTGATTTTTGAAACTGCAAACTATTATCTCAGGGATTGGCTGTATCACAATTCTGTATCATATTGTTGCCCAAAATTCAGATGTGGACATTTATTCTTCAGTCAAATCTAGTACTTGCTTGAAATATTTTTATGTATTTGATAGTGTGGTATAATAGCATTAGTTAAAATATGCTGTTATGTCTATTAGAATATTGATTTGGGCCAAAACCAAGCCAATAAAGAAAGTCATGGTTGACTTATGAACAGTGCAAGTCATTTTCCTATGTTATCAGGGTAGTTTTTGAGCCAGCCCACAAAAACTTTGTAACTGACAAAAAAAAAAAACTTAAAGGACACCCTTAATGGAGACTGAATTCAGCCATGAAGTTCAGGCTGCTGGGAATAAACTCTGACAATGGTACATAGTTCAAGTCACAATAGTTTCCCAGTCTCACCATGTCTCAGCAGAACTGGAGCACAGATTCCTTCCCCTCCTTCCTGTATTCCTATCTTGCATTTTCTCTGGATGCTGTGCAATGAATGGGGGTTGGGGGGTCTCCTGGTCCTGTGTGCCCAGCAGGGGCTGTGGCATCAGTGTTCCCAGAGACAGTTATGAGTGAGGGATGGAAAGAGGAGAGGAAGGGGGTGTTCTGTGTGTCGTTACAACCTCAGGTACAGAGACTGCCTGGAGAGCTCCTGCCATGCTGGAAACAGGCAGGATTCTGCCGAGGTCCCCAGGGTAGGCAGCACCATCAGGAGCCATGACAGGGGTAATGCTGTAAGGCAGGGGCTCTGAGAGCATTTCCACAGATGGCAGCAGGATGGAGAGGTTTGTGGGGGATGGACGCCCTACCAAGTAGATCGTGAGAATAACACTAGTTAACTCTTACTTGGCACTGGGGATGTGCCAGGAACTGTTCTAAGTGCTATTTGGACATCGAGTCATTTATTTCTAAGGAGCAGATCTGCAAGGTAGGTACGACACTTATGACAATTACATGAATAACTGAGGTGATGAGAAATTAATAACAGAGTAATCATTTGTGTGGAGTCTTCATAAATGGATCTCATGGATGAGCTGTGTCATAATTGTGCACAGTGCCATGTTGAATGTATAACTGTATAACTGAGAACACATGATCAAAAAAGGGAGAGGGGCATCGCCGCATCTCTCTTGCAGCATCAGGTGACACACACCTTGGTTTGCCAAATAAAGTCTTTACACACCTCAGAATTTGAGGAACAAGGTATTTGTTATACACCTATTGTATACACCTATTGTATAACAACCCTCAGCTTGGGTGACAGGGTTCGCTCCATTCAGTGTACCTGAGGGTCTGAGTATTATGCCAAGGCACAATGAGGTCCTCCATCTTGGCACAGCACACTTCCTAGAAGAGCAATTATTCTTTGGTAGTTCAAGTCTATTTACCTCCATATGTCTAGCTGTGATTTTGCCTGACCTCCTTTAACTACTTCCAACAGAAACAGAGAAAGCAGAAGTTTTGAATAAAAGTCATAGTCCTGAATTCCTCAGGAAATGATGTCCAGTAAAAGCCAAGTGTATTCAGCAGGTAATAAGAAAGAATTCATGCAGACACCATCTACTTTGGCTGCTGCAAAGTGAACTTTCCCAAAATTCTCATGATGCTGATTTTAGCTTACAGATAACAATAACTGAGCAAGAAGAACAATTGTAAAACTAAAGGATAAGAGATACCTTATTCCTCATAAAAGTGAACTTTAAAACAGCCAATATACTTATCTTTAAGCATTTTTGGCATTTTCATTAAATGGAATGTAAGCAATCAAGATATATTAACTGAAATAGGTTATTATAAGAATTATCCTATTCTTTGCATTCTATGTAAGTTTTATTAAAATCAAAAATTTAAAATACCCTTCTAGCAAAAGAAAAAGAAAAAAGAATTACTACTATTGTATAATAAAAGGGTAGGGCACAATAACCCAACTCTACTGATATGTGCTCTAGGCATGTTTGGCATTTTTACAGTTATCACTTGTGGTGTTTGGAAGATAGGTAGCCCAGTGGTCAAGGGATATAGGTGAGAATCCCTGTAGGTCAGCCCAACCTGGACTTGCAACCTAGCCCTGCCACTTACTTGTGTAATTTTTGGACCTCAATTCTCTTGTCTGTGAACTTAGATAATAATCATATCTATCTCTTAAAGGACTGTTCAATAGACATTGCCATTATTATTTTAATAAATATGGATGTTCTGTTTCTTCCTTTGTAGATGATGTTAAAAAATTGTTAAGGGAGTTAGATGTCATGAGTTCTGTTATTGCTCAGCTCTCTCCAGAAGGTAACTTTGGTTTTTTTTTAATTTTATGAAACTGCCTATTGTAAATAGTTCACATTGAACAATCGCGTATGAGTTGTCATTAAAATCTTGAAAACCATAGCTAAATTTTGAGTTTTATGGAAAAGGTGGGCTCCAAGTAGGATTTGTGGAGCTCTTGTTTTCAAAGCATATGTTAAAATATGGGTTGAATAAGCATTTAACATACTTTTCTTATTTATTTTTGATATACAGAAGAAGTAGTTATCCATGAGTTTGCTAGTCTTTGTCTGGCAAACATGTCTGTCGAGTATACAGGTAAAGTACAAATTTTTGAACATGGTGGGTTGGAGCCACTCATCAGACTACTGAGCAGCCCAGACCCTGATGTGAAGAAGAATTCTATTGAATGCATTTACAATTTGGTTCAGGTAAGATTAACTTCTAAAAAGTGTTTTGATAGTTAGGGTTCTAGCCCAGTAGTAGAGAGATTTTGTACCATGTATGAGGCTCTGGGTTTACATCCCAGCACTGAGAAAAGAAAAAAACATTTTGACAAAAACTATTATTCTTGTTTTCCAATTTTTAAAAGTTTTTTTTATTTTATAAAAAAAAAATCACCAGGTTTGCATTATCAGTTCTTCTGGAAAAATAACAGAAATTTAGTGTAGATATATTTTCACATTTTATAAGTAATTGCCTCCTGTGAAAGCATATTTTAGAAATATATTTCTGTTTTTAAAGAATAGCATGGCATGCAGATTAGGGTGGGATTAATCTAGATAAAATGTGCTTCTTCTAAAACAGGAAATCTAAGATTCCTATTGAACCAAGGAAGTGACCTATTGATCTAACCCTAGCAATTTAAGCACACTGAATATAATCTCTCCCCTGTTCAGTGTACCAAGACTTTGGATTAGATTTATTTATCAAGGAAAAAAAAAGAGTTAGTGATTTGAGTATGATCTGCATTCATTGTTCACAATAGCAAGAGGCAACCTCATTGGCTGTTTTCCTCTCTGATGTCTTATTTATTTTTGATACACAGAAGTATTTATCTGAGTTTCTGAGTCGACATTTGTCTAGCAAACATGTCTGTAGATTATATGGGTAGAGTGCAAATATTTGAACACAATGGATTACAGCCATTCACCAGACTACGGAGCAGGCCAGACCCTGGTGTGAATACACTGCCACCTTCCCCTCCCTGCCATCCTGTCCCTCAACCCCAACCCCCTCTAAACACCCACACCCTCACACCCACAGGAGGTCAGTTTCCCAGAAGTTTAACAGCCTTCTCTGCTGCTTTTTCTGCTCATTTCCTTAATAATCAACACACACATTTGCTAAGATTGAGATGAGGCAAAACTACAAAAGCCCCATTTTAAATGGCTATCAATAGAGTATGAAAGAAAGATTTTGAAACAAGAGTGAGGAAGAGGATTCATAGCAAAGCAAAGTATCTGGGCAAAGAGAGAGGAATGGATTCAAAATCTTCTGGCCTTAGTGTGTCTGCACAACTTGACCAGGCGCCCACTCCTAAGAGAGGTCCTATAGAGAAAGCTCGGCTCCTTTTTGCCTTCTCTGGTTACTTAGGCTTTCCTTCACCCAACAGGCTTAAGTATTCCTATACATGTACTTGTGTTTTTAATCTCCAGACTCCTTTTACCTGTATTTCCCTATTTTTTTTTTAATCAAGCAGGGATGAAAAGCATTGCCTCCACAATTTTTTGGCAGGGAGGTGGGTATAGGGTTTCAACTCAGGGGCACTTGGTCACTGAGCCACATCCCCAGCCCTATTTTGTATTTTATTTAGAGATAGGGTCTCACTGAGCTGTTTAGTGCCTCGCTTTTGCTGAGGCTGGCTTTGAACTCACAATCCTCCTGCCTCAGCCTCCCCAGCCTTTGAGATTACAGGCCTGTATCACCATGCCTGGCACGTCCACAGTTCTTATTAGCTAACAGCAGGATCTCAGGAATGCTGTAGCAAAGTTCCACAGTCTGGCTGGTTTAAAACAACAATTCTGAGGTTAGAAGTTCAAAATCAAGGTAGGGCTGCACCGGAGGCTGGGTGGACTCCTTCCTCGCCTCTTCCTGGCTTCTGGTGGGGACAGCTAGTGATGGCCTTCCTTGGCTTGCATCTGTGTCACTCTGGTCTCTCCCTTTGTCATCTTTCCCCTAAGGACACCCATCTTATAAGGACACTCTTAAGCACCCAGCCTCCTCCAGGATGACCTTATCTTACCTAATTACCCTTGCAATGACTGTTTCCAAATAAGGTCACATTCTGAGGGACTGTGGGGACACAATTTAACCCATAATAAAGAGCAACCTATACTTTCTATGTCTAAAGAAAGCTGAATATTAGAGGTCAGTTGAAGGATGTCCAGGAGGAGGAGGCTTCGTTGTAAGTGGAGGCTTTTCCACCTTTAGTGCTATTCTCTACTTGTCACGTTTTGGGTGAAAATATCATTTAACGATCAGAGTTTGGGGGCTTTTAGTGGCTTCTTGCTATGCTTTTTCTTCTGTTCACCACCACCAGTCCCCTACTCCCTGCTCCCACTCACACAGAATTACTGATACACTTGCAGAACAATTTGTCTAAAATATAGTGATCTCTTGATATCATAAATGTCTTAAGGAAAGGTCATGCATCTGCTCTGAACCTGTGTAAATTTGCATGCAGACAGCCTGTCAATAGCCTGCATGCACATAGGTATTCATAACAATCCATTTGAAGATAATAAGGAATGGGTGCCATCATTTCATCTTATCAAATCCTATTTGAACATTATATCAGAGTATGAAAAGAATTTTATCATGCATAGGTTTTACCGTAATGCTATTTATGATAGTAGGAATTTGCTGCTTCATAAAGAAATACTGGATACTATAAAAGTCATTGGTCATGTTTATTTCTGGTTGTTGACAATGTCTGCATATACCAATGGATATTTTGGTGTTGTCCACTGAGAGTTTTATTATTTTTGTGAATTATTTTGGAAGTAATCTGGAATAAAAAATGGAGAAGTTGTAATTCACAATGTTCTTTGCTAGAAAATAGAATTTCTCCATTCTAAGGACTTTATTTTGCTTCAGAAGTTACTGATGTGATCATTTGTATTTCGTGGCAGGATTTTCAGTGTCGAACTACACTTCAAGAACTAAATGCAATCCCTCCTATGTTGGAGCTCTTGAAGTCAGAGTATCCAATTATTCAGTTGTTGGCTCTTAAAACCTTAAATATCATTACAAATGATAAGGAATCCCGTACAATGCTAAGAGAAAATCAAGGATTGGACCAACTTATTAAGATCATAGATACTAAGGTATTTTCAAAGAATTTTCTAAATGTTTTATAAAATATTAATTGTATAATATTTAAATTAAATTTTATTATATTGAAGCATGGTACAAAGTATAGTGCAATAATTAATTAATTGCTACATAAAGGTTATTAACCTGATTAAATCAGACTTTTTAGATTTTGAGACAGGGTCTTACTAAGTTGCTTTCGACCTCACTAAATTGCTGAGGCTGGCCTTGAACTTGTGATCTTTCTGTCTCAGCTTCCCAAGTAGTTGGGATTACAGGGGTGTGCACCATCATGCCTGGCTTCAGACCAATTATTGAGGCCATTTGAAGCTAATTAAAAAAAAATCTATTGGTATAGAAGATTTAAAATTTGTAAACTCTTGTTCTATTATCTTCCTTCTAATTCCCTAAAACACCTAGAATTAGTCTTTTAACCTTTATCTGCCATGATTTCCTCTGGAATAAGAAAAGAAGAGTAATTTATCTTCTAAACACATTTTGAGAAATATTGGAGCTGAATTTCTGTAGTTCCCACTAAGCTCCTTAGGAATGAATTGTACACTTTCAGACTCTGTAGGTCTTCCTTATAATTTCCCAGTTACAAAAACCAATCTAACAATTTATCGAATTCTTTACTTGTCTTAAAGTGAGTCAGGTAACTTCTGCAAGGGTCCACTGTCTAAACTTCAGAGTGAAATGGTAATATGTAGATTTCAGATCCACTTTCATAGGTTATTACGTGAATAAATTTAATGAATTCTAATGACAAAATCTATTCTTAGTACCTCTTAGAAATTTGGGCACTAGGGACAGAGTAAAGGTTTCCTGAATAATAACTTAATATTAAGTTTCACTTTATCTAAGCATTAAAAATAAATAAATATCAGAGCTTAATTATACCAAACTGGTAAAATACAGAAGGGCAATACTCAAATACGTGTGTTTCTCTGCTGTGTAAATCTAGCCATCTTTGGTTTGTTGATCCCCTATTTACCAGTTTCTGGGCTAAACATTTTGAATTTGTGAATTTGAATGCATGATAAATTCAGTATTTTTTTTACCAATTTAAAAATGGAAACTGAAAATCAGAGTGGGTATTTTATTTGCCCTATGTTGCATAAGTAGGGAGAGATTAACTGCAGGGATGAACCTAGACTTGTCTGATATATCATGGTATTTTCACCTGTTTGATATTTTACCTGTTGTCTTTTAAATAAAAAATGGGATAGAAACATCTACTATGTGGTGGGCATTGTTTAGATGTTTTACATGCAATTTTATTAATTTTATAATTCTTTTGAGAATGTGATAATATTTTTCTATAAGATAAGAATAAATGATAATAATTGTATCATTATACATGTCACATGTAATTATTGAATCATTGACCTCATTTTATAGGTAAGAAGAATGAAACTGACAGATAAATAACTTGCTCACAATCACAGAGCTAGGACATTTGCAAGAAGGATATGTTTTCAGAATTAATGCATGTGTTTTAGTTGGAAAAATTCACATGATATCAAAATATCTAAAGTAATAAATGGAAGCCCCCCACCTCCTCACATATGATGCAGTACGGGCCCCAGATGTTTGCTCTCATTGCTTTTGTTCACCATCATTCTTACCACGGTGACAAGGCCAAGAGAAAGATAGGTATTAAAGACTGAAAGACTAGGAAGGAAGAATAAAACTGTATTTATTCACGGATTACGTGACTGTATGGAGAAAATCCAGAGAGACTACAAGAGCCTAATAGAACTAATAAGTAGATCTATCAAAGTCAAGGGATAAAAGCTCAGTACATACTAATTAATGGAGTTTCTACATACTACAAATTAACAACTGAAAAGAAAAATTAATACAATTCCATTTACAGTGCATTACTAATGCATGAACTATAAGGAGTTAAATTTAACAAAATTTGGGCAAAATTTATTCACCAAAAAAATACAAAACAGTTTTAAAGAAGGCTTAAATAAATGAAGAGCTATAACATGCCTGTGGATTGGAACACATGAAATTAATGTCATTTTCTACCAGATTGCTTTTGAAATTAAAATTTCAATCAATTTTTACATAACTATTTATTGATTTGGTTGTATTTAGGTGTACCATTTATTGTTTTTCTCTTTGTCTGATCTGTTGGCTCATTTCACTCTTCTGCCTTCTATCATGTTAATTTAACTTTTAATGTTGCATTTTAATTTCTCTATCGGCTTTCGAGCTATATCTCTTTGCACTTGGTAATTGCTCTGGTGATGACAATAGACAACTTAAAATGATCATATTCTACTTAGAATTGATATGGAACTACTTCAAATAAAATATTGGAAACTTATAACAATATATGTCTGGTTTTCCCATTCTAAATATTATTGTTAAATATTTTACATCTATGTTCATTAGAAACCCAATGATACAACATAAAATTTTTGTTTTGAACAGTCCTGTATCATATGAGTTTTAAAGAAATAAGGAAAAATCACATATCCACATTTGTGGTCTTGTCTACTCTTTAATATTTAGTTCTTTATTATCTACCCACATATTTACCATTTTGGGTATTGTTTATTCTTTCCTATAGATTTAGTTTACAACTAGGTCATTTCCCCTCAGACAGAGGAGCTTCATTTAGCATTTCTTATAGTGCAGATAAGCTGGCATAAATTAGCTTTTTAAAAATATATTTGAAAGTGTCTTTCTTTTGCCTTCAGTTTTGAGAAGCTGTTTTTGCTTAATGAAAAACTCCTGATTTGTACATTTTTTTTTCTGTTTAGCCCTCCGCTATTTCTTCTGAAAGTCACTATTTATGATATGAATTTGGCTACTAATTATAATATTTCCCTGAGTATGATTTGCCTTCTTTGGCTGCTTTTGAGATTATCCCTTTATCTTTGGCTTCCTGCATTTGTCCTCTGCATAGAAGTTATATATAATTTGTGTATCCTGCTTGGGATATATAAATCCTTAGATCTGTAAATTAATGTTTTTCACACGTATGGGAATTGCAGTCATTATTTATTCAAAAAAAATTTTAAAAATATTTTTTAGATGTTAATGAACCCTTTATTTTGTTTTTTATTTATATGCAAAGCTGAGAATCAAACCCAGTGTCTCATACATGCTACCACTGAGCCACAACCCCAACCCTCAAAATTTTTTTCTGTTACTTTTCTCCTCTCTAGGACTCAATTAACAACTTTGCTGTCCTTCTTGATATTGCTTTATAAGACTTTATATTGATATTGCTTTAGAAGACTTTATATTGATATTGCTTTAGAAGACTTGATATTGCTTTAGAAGACTCTGTCCTTCAATTCTTTCTTTCTTTCTTCCTTTCTTTTTACTTTTTTGGATTAAATAATTTCATTGATTTGTATTCAAGTTCTCTTTTGCCATCTTCAATCTTCAGTCTGATGAATTCTTCTTTTTAACGTTATGCTTTTCAAACTGAAATTTTCATTAACAAGTTGCATGTCTCTGTTCAGCTTTCCTCTTTGTACATATTTATAACAGCTCCTTTAAAGTCTGACTGCTTAATCGGACATCTGCCCCTATTTAGGGTGGGATGTAATTGACCACCTTTTTCTTTTCTTTTCTTTTCTTTTCTGTGTTTCACATTCTCCTGTTTCTTTCATGTCTAGTAATTTTTGGTTGAAAATGAACATAGTAGAAAATCCCTCCCAGTGTTTCCAGATTCTGTTGTGTTTTCCTGAGGATTGCTGGTACTTTGTTCTAGTAGACAGGTAGCTATAAAGACTCTGTCCCTCTGTGGTGTCCAACAGCTGGTATCTCTTCTCAGTTCTTACAGTTTCTCAGTGCTGCTGTTTTTAGCCTGACCCCTGGAGATCTCCCCCCATGCTTCAGTGGTTTGGAGTTCAACCATGAATGTGGGAAGTGTCTTAACTTAGTTTGGTGGGGGGTGTTCATCGTTTCTCTGTGGCTCCCTTGCTTCGGGGCATTTCCTCCTTTAAGTCTGTAGCTCCTCTATGAGCCCCAGGCTCTGACCTCTGATACCCTAAGCCAGTGAGGCTTCACCTTTCTACCTGCTGCGTTGCATGTAGATTGAGAAATCACTATATCTGAAAAGCAGTAAATTTACAAATTTCACCAGCATGGTTCCCCCTTTTAAGGATAAGATATATTGCTTTCTAGTCCCTCCCTTTTTATATTCACTGGGATTCTTGGCACCTCCTCCATGCACATATAACTCAGTGGTCATCCAAAGGCCTGGGCATTGTTTATACTCAGAATTTGGATGACATCCTATGCTAAAGTTCTCTAGAGACACAGAATAAAACAGATAATTAAGAAATTGGCTCACTCAATTGTGGAAGTTTGGCAAGTCCAAAGTCAGCAGGGTAAGGCAGCAGACTGGCGACCCAAGGAAGCATTACAATGAATCCAAAGGCAGCCAATTGGCAGAATTTCCTCTATTTCCATGGAGGTCAGTGTTTTTCTTTTAAAGTCTTTGACTGATTGGATGAGGCCCACCCACATTATGGAAAGTAATCTGCTTTACCCCAAATCTACTAATTTAAATATTGCACCTAAAAAAAAGTCCTTATACAAACATCTAGAATGATGTTTAAACAAACATATGGGTACCATGGACTAACCAAGTTAGTACATAAAAATTAACCATTATAAGTTTGTTCCATTATACCCTTTGTTCAATTTGCCATTTCTCTCTCTCCACATATGTCCTTAAATCATAATCTTCAAATAAAGACAAGGCCAAGGTCATATATTGACCTAACATGATTCAGCTATCCTGTGTCCAACCAAAAAGCCATTAACCCTTTCCTGAAATCCTTGGGTAATATTTACTTTTCTCTTTAACATTTGGTAACTTAAATGCTGCAATTTAAAGTTAACAAAAATTAAATACTATAGTATAAAGTTAATACATCTCATGTAACATAATGGGATAAGAGGGAAAAAACAAAGGTATATATTAATACATATGTATACATGAACATACATAAACACACATGAACATACATATACACATGTGTACACACAAGCACCTCCGTAGTAAAGTAAGGAATACTCATGATAAAGTCTTCACTTTTATTACTGATCTCATGACCATAGTTGATATTCACAACTGCCTTCTTCTGCTTTCTATTCCCTATTCCCTTTGCCTTCAGCAAGTACCTCAACTGATCATAGTTTTGTACTTTGGGACTACACAATCCTTCATCCTGAGACATTAGTATCCTGCATGTACTGGGTTCTTGTGGAGTTCCATCAACTTTAATCACAGGGCACAAGAGACACCATATGAGAATCTTATTTTTCAGACAAATTCTCCCTTACTTCCACTGTGCAGCAGCAGTCCAATTTCCCCTGCACCGTAACTCTGTTGTTTTGCTTATTGATTCAGGGACATGAAGAACCCAAAGTGGGAGGGGCCACAGTCTTACCTTCCAATTCAATAGAATCATCATTGTTTGCCCTGGTGAAAATATTGCTCCCCTTAGCATTAAGATCTTCAGATCAGCAGAGCATACAGGTTGCAGGGACAGGAAGCAGAAATTTTGCTAGTGAGTCATTAGGGGTAACAATGGTGGCGCCACTCCCATTTCCACTCCTTGGTTCATGGGCCAGCTATGGGAGAATTAGCACTGTATGTCAGACACTGACTCACAGCCTGTGAAGCCTGGTAGACCGAGCCCTGCAAGGTACTAACACCTGGCTAGTGTTGTAACTTGAGTCTTTAAAAGAACATTCCAGCATTCTATCAAGCCACTGCTTTGGGATGTTGGGGACATGGTAAGAACAGTGAACTCCATGAGCGTGGGCCCATCACTGTGCTCCTTTGCGGTGAAGTGAGTTCTTGGTCAGAAGCAATGCTGAGTGGAACATCACCACAGTGGCTCATCCTTCCTGCGCCTCTCTCCCTTTTAGGATTTCTTCCTGAAATTTCTAGCTGCAGTAAGGCTGCAGGTTTCCACTGCTTGGGGAGATTCCAATAACTTGGAAAGCAAGCCACAAAATTCACAATCATTTCCTTCTAACAGTTGCAGATTTTAAGGAACTTTTCTTCCTGCAGTCTGTCTGCTGTTTCAAAAGTTATTTCTTGGCATGTGTGAGGTCCTGGGTTTAATCCCCAATTCTGGAGAAACCATTTTTTTTCCCTCTAGATTTTAAAATTAATTTTGGTGAAAGATTAAATGAGCAACTTCACTTGGCTACATTAATGGAAGTTTCCTCTCTAGCCTTATTTTTAATTCATAAGACATTTGGAATATGTCAGTTGGAAATGAAAAAAAATGGGGCAAATGGTTGGGAGAGGGTTGTTATTTTGGTAAAAACAATTGTCATTTCCTCAGGCCTTTGTCACAACAAAATTTCTTACATTATGTTCAAAGTGATCTCAGCTCCTCTTGTAGTAAAATTTGGGAAGAGTAAATTTCTCTTAATACAACTTTCTAAAGTTGTGTTTGCTTTTATTTTTAGGAATTGAATGACCTTCACATAGAAGCACTTGCAGTGATAGCCAATTGCCTCGAAGATATGGAAACTATGACGCTAATTCAGCAAACAGGGGGTCTTAAAAAACTTCTAGCATTTGCAGAAAACTCCACAATTCCTGATATTCAGAAGAATGCAGCCAAAGCAATTACTAAAGCAGCTTATGATGGTATGTCTTGTTTTCAACAAACTAATCATACATTTTTTTCCTCTTATATTCAGAAATTTGATTAGTACTAACAAACACTAGAGTACCTGCTTTTATATAACTATTCAACCATTGGAGAATAACACTGCACTTATTCCCTAAGGGCAAAACTCATTAACTACCACTGAGTTAAACTAAAGATTGCTTTATTAGGGATGTAATAAACTCTATGATTTAATTATAATCCTAATTTTTAAGCAATTGATTCCTAAATTAAGTTCTAAGGCCTTTATTTGTCTTGAATTTGGAGTGATGTAGAATGTGTACATTGTTTGTGATCCTGAAAACACTGTTTTGAGAAATTCACATTCAGAATGACATCCATAAGGTAATTTCAAGTTTCAGCTGGAGTCTAGTAGTGCCATGAAAAATAATATGCTCCTACTATATACATAATACAATTTTCATTTCAGTGACAAGCTATGTTGACATAAATCTGTAAAATATGAGAGATTAATTACATCCCAAGCACTGAAGATGAAATTACAGTTTTAATTTATGTATATTTGGAGTATTTTGTTTAATAAAAGATGTGATTTTATTTTTCCCCTTCTGCATCACTATTCTTATAAATGATGACAGCTTTGACTATTTTAAGTGACTTATATTCTAAATATATACACTTGCATCTGTATGTATGTCTGTGTATATTGTATAAAATATTTTTTCCAGCCCATACTGGATTTCTTCAAGGCCAAGCTTTAATGCAGTAAGCAGAATTTCATTTTCTAGTGTGTAGTCAACAGAGAAGCACCTCATGGAGTAACATTATCAATGCCAAATCTGAATTCAGGCTTTGAAATTAAGCTTTTTAATACTGGCAAAGTTGGCTTATTCTGTGTCCATCAAATGCAACTTGGATATTATCAGAGCTGGCCAGTTCTGTTTTTATTCTGTACCAGGATTCTTAGCCAACTGAGACCCAAAGAAAGGTATACTGGGAAGACAGGGACAGTGCCAAACCTAGAATTTTGGCCTATCTCGACTTCTCGGTGGCCTAGTGTGGCTGAGTCATTCTGTGTCAGTTCCAACCCAGGTGGGGGTGGTGAATTTCATATCTCCTGCCTTGGGCAGCACTGGACAGGGAGTTTTGGTGTTTCAGTCTAGCACTGGTTCTACCATTGGCCCTGCAGTGACCTAGTTATATGTCTCTGGGTGAACTACAGCCACTCCAGACCTGTATATTAATTCATCCACTAATGATTTATTAAGCCCCCACTTTCTGTCAGTAACTCCAGAGCAGCCAAGTAAAGAAGCAATCACAATGCGGTGTTTAAAATGCTTGACCATGGAAACACAGAGGCCCCCAGGAAGGTCACCTGATGCAGATGGAAGTCAGAGACGTCTTCTTGGAATATGTGACTCCCAAGATAGGACCTGGGGCAAATGACAGAAATTGGCCAAGCAAAAAGTTTGAGTAGCACAGAGGAGGAGGACTAAGAGTTGTCTAAAGAGGAATAGTGTATGGAAAGGCCAGAGGAGGGCAGGGTGGGGGAAGTTCTGGACCCGGCAGTGTGGTAAGTTCAGAATGGCGGTGAATAAAACAAAAGAAAAACTGAGAGTTCCGGCTACCGAAGTAGAGAGAAGCCAAATGCTAAGGGACATTTATAAGCCATTATTTAACAGTGAGGAAGAGCTATTGAAAGACTTGGGGTGCAGGGGGGAGGGGAACATTGCAGCTTTTTGCTTCCAAAGAAAGAGGACTCTTGCTGCAAAATGGAGATTGGAAGCATGTGGGACCAGACATAGGAGACCACAAGGGGGGTTTCTGTGGTAACCTAGATGGGACAGCAATGAGCCCCAGCAAAAAGGAAAATGCATGTCCTCACTAACATGTGAAAGATAAAAAGTTGGTCTCAGAAGCAGAGAATAGAATAGTAGCTACCAGAGCCTAGGAAGGGTGGGGTAAGGGGCTGGAGATAGGAGAGTTAAGGGGTACCGGGGTGTACCTGGGTCGAGGAATCACTTCTAATGGTCTATATAGCACAGTGGGGTGGACATGGTTGAGAAAAATCAGTTGAATATTTCACAATGCCTTTCATAAAAGGTTTTGAATGTTCCCAACACACACACACAAAAAGAATGATAAAGATGTGAGGTGATAGATATGCTAATTATCCTGATCTGATCATTGTACATTGTATACATGTATTGAAACATCACACTCAGTACAATCACTATATGTCAGTTGGAAATAAAATTGTATGTTAAAAATATCTTACCTCCTTGGGCTGGGGATGTGGCTCAAGCGGTAGCGCGCTCACCTGGCATGCGTGCGGCCCGGGTTCGATCCTCAGCACCACATACAAACAAAGATGTTGTGTCCGCCGAAAACTAAAAAATAAATATTAAAAAAAATTCTCTCTCTCTCCCCCACTCTCTCTTTAAAAAAAAATCTTACCTTCTAACAAATGTATATGCATGGAAACAAAAATAAAAACACATATACATAGAGTTTCCACAATTAGGAGTTGGCAAAATACACATAGATACATAAAAAATGGCCTGAAACAGAGATGTGGGGTTCTGATGGATTCAAGGTATCCGGCAAGGAACCACCAAACACAGCTCTTGGTGCATTGTGAGATCTTTAAGTGCTTGTGAAATGGTCACCTGTGCTGAGGAAGGGACAAGGTGCTATCAAGGTTAGGGATGAGTATCTGACTTGAACAGCTGGGAATTAAAAGGCGCAGCTCAGAAATGGGGAACTCAAGAGGAGGAGCACATTTTGTTTGAAGGAGAAGAAATGAGTTCCATTCTTTTTTTTTTAACGTGGGATGAAATAGTCTTAATATAAAGTTTGCCATTTGCTTTTGAAATGTATAGTTCAGTAGTATTAAATATGTTCATATTTTTTGTGCTACCATCTATTTTGTGCTATAATGTTTTAATTCAGCAAAACTAAAATTCTATACCCATCAAACAGCAAGTTCCCACTTGGCCTCCTCATTCCCACCATTCTACTTTCTGTCTCTATGACTGTGTCTACTCTAGGTATTTCACGTATGTGGAATCATACGAATTAGTCCTTTTGTGGCTCTTTAGCACTTAGCATGTCCTCAAGGGTCATTCAAATTGCAGCATGTGTCAGAATTTCTATGCTTTCTAAGGCTGAATAAAATTCCATTGTATGTATAAGCCACATTTTGGTTTTCCAGTTAACCACTGATAGACAATTGGGTTGCTTTGGACTTTTTGGTTATTGTGAAGAATGCTGCTCTCAACATGGATGAACAATGTTTCTTTGAATCCTTGCTCTCAGTTCTTTGGGGTACATACCTAAGAGTAGATTGCTAAGTCATATGGTAATTCTATCTTTAACTTTTTGAGGGAATGCCATATCATCTTCCTTAACAGCTGAACCATTTTTAATTCCCACTAACAATATACAAAGGTTCCAATTTCTCCACATCCTGGTCAATACTTGTTACTTTGTTTTGTGATAGTAGCCATCCCTGGTTACGGGTATGAAATGGTGATATTTCATCATAGTTTTGATTTGCATTTTCCCGATAATTAGTGATGTCAAGAAGTTTTTTGATCTACTTATCTCCACTTTGGAGAAATGTCTACTCAAATCCTTTATCTAATTTTTAATTGGCTTATTTTCTTTTTGATGTTGAGTTGAACTTTATCCATTGTGGACATTAATCTTTTGTCTAATACGTAATGGGCAAAAATTTTCTCACATTCTGTGGGTTATTTTTCACTCCATTGATTGTTTCCTTTGAAGCCTTTGAGTTTTTCATTTTGCTCTATTCCAACTTATTTATTTCCTTTGCTTTTGGCATCATATTCAAGAGCTCATTGCCAAATCCAAAGTCACGAAAGCTTTTCCCTTTTCTAAAAATTAATTTTATAGTTTCAGCTCTTATATTTAGGTCTTTGATCTACATTGAGTTAATTTTGTATATAGCATAGGAAGGTGTCTAACTTGTAGATATCCAGTTTTTCTAACATCATGTTGACATTCATTTTTTATTTATAACACAAAGCAATTCAAACAGATGGTCTCTTAAGTCCTTTCTGGCTTTAGTGTTTTCTGATTTGTTTCCTTGAATTAGTTTAAAATAACTACATTCCAGTTTCAAATTGTGTCTCCTGTTTTATTTTAGAATACAATGACTAACTCTATATTTACTTCATCTATGACATTTGTAATTACATCATGTTCCTATCAACCATGATTTTTCCAGAGTGAAGGATCCTTGTCTTAGTCTTTCCCTGTAGATCTGTTTTCAGACTATCCTGTGATCATTCTCTTTCCTCTTTGGAATTTTCTCCAATTTTATAATACCCTCTTTGAACTGTGTTGATAAGTATTATGAGCAGTATTTTTAAAACAGGTACTGTGGTTTTTATATAATATAAAGATGGTTTGTTTTACGATTATTTTCTATTTCAATCCCACCAACCCTTTGAGGGAAAGACCTACGGTGAACTCCAGGGCCCCTTTCTTGGTCAGGATCCAGAGCCCAAAGATGTTCATTTTAAATTCCAATATTTTAAGTTCATGGTTTTAAAAATGTGAATTTTGCTTTGAGACTAGTATGCATTTTCTTTGAGTCTGGAGCATGATCCATATGCACAAGTGATCTATAAATCTTAAAAAGGGTTATTTGGATTGTGATTGAACCAATGATTATGTGTGCTATGTGCAAGACACTGTTCCAGAAATAAGGACAGAAAATGAAAGTGATAGATGTGTAAGTATTTGTTGAATAAACAAACATATGTATTTCCTACAGAATGGAGGGTTTGATATTTATCTTTTAGTCCACCTTTATAAATTATAGTGGAGGGGCTGGGGATGTGGCTCAAGCGGTAGCGCGCTCGCCTGGCATGCGTGCGGCCCGGGTTCGATCCTCAGCACCACATACCAACAAAAATGTTGTGTCCGCCGAGAACTGAAAAATAAATGTTAAAAAATTCTCTCTCTCTCTCTCTCTCTCTCTCTCTCT